GGAAATGAAATTTGTTACAACGTTGCACTTAGTCTTTCATATTTGTTGTTAGTAATTTAAAAGACATTTTGAAACACATACGGAACGATAATAATTTTTTAAAATATAATAACACAAAAAATGAAAAGGGAACTCGGGTACATTTATCGAGAGCCACAAATAATCCTTCAAAGAGCCGCATGTGGCTCGCGAGCCGCAGGTTGGCCACCCCTGGTATATATAATATTTAAAAAACTTTCAAAATAAAAGTTATTTTAAAACAATGAATTTAATAATTTAATACAATTACACTGATCTTTTCAATAGTCTTTTTTTATTATTGAAGAGATGTACTTACACCATATGCATTTCAAACTGCATTATTTAACAGTTCACCCTTAGTTACCACTAAGGATGAACTGTTTACAATACAATAATAATGTAAACACTTTAGCATACAAGAGTACTGAAATACAATTTAGTCAGGCGTTGGCAGCCATTTTTAATATCATACCAACCAGTGAAAATTTGCATACCATTATTTACATTAATTTATTTTTAGTATTAATGATTGTTAAATGCTCTTTAAATTTTCTTTTATAAATATTTTTTTCTATATTAACTATTTTAATATCTGAGATATCTATATTACAGTTCTTCTCATTTACATGCTTCCACCACAGCAAATTTACATATTTAAATCTAATTCCTGCTAAATGCTCTTTAATTCTTTTTTCTAGTTTTTTTCCTGTTTCTCCTATAAATATTTTTGATTCTTGCACATCCATTTTAATTTGTAGATGGCTCCTGTTTCCTGTAAAATATCAATTTTTTTTTCTTCTTATATATATTTATTATTTTATTCAATTTATTCTTCATGGTTGGGGATAAATTTATATGTTTTTTATNTATATATATAACATCTCAATAACTTGATGTATTATTAATCATCCAACTGTCAGCCAAATTAATCAGGCAATATTACACTACAGTTAAGAATTAGAAATTATGTGATTAGAAATTAGAGGTAAACATTAACTCTTATCAAAAATAGTAACTATAATTTAGAATAGTCTGGAAGAAAAGAATCAGCCCAGAGCGAGAGTCAAACCTACAACCTCCATTTAATGTGTGTGCACTGACAAGTTACACCACCCAGATCTCTGAGTGACTCTTCCCTTCCAGACACATTTTAAACTTTATATATAACCAAACAATAGTTACCCATGTTGGCCAGTGGCATTGGATATGTCCTCAGTCAGTGTTGTGAGTAACTGATGGATGGTTATATCTAAAGCACCTTTCTCAAAGTGGGCGATAACACCCCCTTGTGAGTGCTGGAGGCTTTCAGGAGGGCAGTAGAAGGCTCAGTGATTAAATATCAGTTTTATTTCTTCTTATTGAAAAATTCTTTGATCTCAGAAATAAAATATGGGTCACACCCTATCTATCCTATCCATATAATACAGTAGAGTCTCGAAAACTTGGCACTCGATAACATGGCAGTCCGGATAACTCGGCCACACCCTGGCAGGGCAAAAAAAATCCTTAGTTAATTAATTTTCATTATAGACAGCTTTATGCCTCATAAAGCATTTTTCTGAGGTCTGTCTTATCAGGTAAATTACTGTATACAGTGTATTCATTAATTTTCATTTTCATGTAGTAAAGGCTCTATGCCTTCATAAAGGACGAACTTTTCCTTTGTTTAAGGGTATTTGGGCAGTTTATTCTCTGTTGTATTCTCAAGTAAACAATACATACAAGTACAGTACAATATTTTCTGAGGAAACACTCATACTTATTTTTTTTAACCCCATTCCCGATAACCTGGCATTTTCACAAACTCGGCCTCCCTTCGGTCCACATTAGGCCGAGTTTTCGAGACTCTACTGTATTACATGTTTAAACATTATATTTGCAATAACTGTTTTTAAGATATGCAACAGATGGTAATGTAA